GTCTTATAGATATACTTTTTATTTTATTCCGAGAAAGAAAGGGATAGATATCAACGGAAGAAGAAGATTCTACAATTTTGGCAAAGTAGCGACCGGATCACATGACTGCATGCAGGCAGAATGAAAAGATTATTCCAACTTGTATAACCGAAACGTTGACAATTGAACTATTTGACCAACGACTAAATAAATCTTCGTTCCAAATCTTATATATCACCTATATTAATATTCGAAATAACTGAAATTTTAATAAAACAAATACTTTTGAGATGGTACCAAACATAATTCGCAATGGACCAATCATTGAGACGGCCTTTGTTAGTCCATGACCTCACAAACATGAAACACGAGCCACAACATTTTAACTTTTTTTTTGTCGTTCCATTGTAAAAGACAAATCAAAATATTACAAATTCACTCCCAATAATAATAATCACTCCCTTTTTCCCAGAGTATTTTATAGTAATAAAAAAAATTGTAAAGAGTGAACAAAAAATTGAGCAAATATTTTACCAACAAGAAAAAGATTAAAAAAAAAAAAATTGAACAAGAGCTAAAATTGAGAAGAATAAGCGAAACCTTCTTTTTGACCTCCTCCTTGAAACTGAGACCGACTAAGCCCACTCGCTTCCAACATGCGGTTCCACTCACGCGCCTCCGCACCTTCTCCAAACTCCCTCTCTCCGCCTCTCATCGCCTGTAAAATCTTCGCCGCTTTCTCCTTCAACCTTCCGCTTCTGTTCTCACTCTCCACAATCTCCGTCAGAATCTCCTCTGCACCAGCTTCACTCGCCAATCCTCTAAACCTCATATTCCCTATACTTAGCGTCAACAAAGCCCCCACGCAATTCTCACGCGCCGCCTCTGAATCAGCTCCTCCTTCTCTAAGTTTCCCGACAAGTATCGCCACCGCGTTACCGTCGAGCATCGCTCCTTTTCCTTCCGAACAAGCCGCTAAGTTACAGAGCAATAGAAGGATTCTGCTCGCTGATTCGCCGGATCTGACCATTGACAGCATCATCGGGACCGCACCGGCTCGGACCAGTCTTGTTCTGTTGTTCGGGATTAAGGACAAGTGGTAGAGCGCGAGAGCTGCGTCTTGTCTCGCTCTTTCGCTGTCTGATGATCGGAGTGCGTGGAGAAGCGGCTCAACCGCGCCGAGAACTCCGATGACCATTTTGTTCTCTTCTTCAACGGCTAAACTGAACAAAGCTCCGATTACGTGTTCTTGCGCTTCCGTTGATCCTGATTTGAGAACATCGATGAGTAGAGGAACGAATCCAGACCGTACGATCTTCAATTTGTTTGGTTTCTCTAAGGACAAGTTGACCAGAGATGCAGCTGCGTTTGTCTGAACGATGTTGTACC